TAGAAGCCCTAAATAATCAGGCTAAGTATGTTACCAACTTTATGGTCCTTTATTTAGAAGCCCTAAATAATCAGGCTAAGTATGTTACCAACTTTATGCCACAGACTATATATATAAAGGAATCTTGATCTAGAAAAAAAGTTTGTATAACAGACGTAAAGTACTTCGTCAATATCAGTAACCATTAAAAATATAGCTGATACTTTGAACTTAGGACACTTAAATGATCTGTACTATTCAGAAGTTAGCTGAAATATTCCTTTTTTTCACATAGCAAATATACTCTGTATTGTCTCTTGCCAATTTTCGTTAATTAACTTCTCTGTCAGTGATTATAAATATTTTTTTAAATAATACTATGAACAAACCAGAATGACTCGGTGTTTCCTAAAAGTCTTAGCATGTAAATTCAACTTGAGTTTATATTAGACAACCTGACTGAAGACGTTTCGGTAGGCCTTACGTGAATATGATGAAGATTCACGAGACATCATTTTCTAGAAGTAGGAAGGCTATTGATAATAATGAACTCATTGTCAACTGTTTGGTTACAAACACTGTAGTCTTAACATGATTGCAAGTGACGCCAATAAAAGTTCGCCAACTTAAGTAACTAACAAAATTCGCTTTGTTATAAAATAACGTCTTTTAACTATTTATCGACAAGGTTAGAACTTTTAACTTCTCTCAATCATCGTTGTCGTGATGGAAATCCCTCTGGTGGATCAGCATTAAGTTTACGGGCTTAAGACTATAATCCTGGGTCCGATTACTCAGAGTGAACAGATTGCAAGTAGTCTATTGTTATAAATTACAATATTAAAAAAATAGTTTATTTGTTGGATAGAGGGAGCTGCAGTTCGTGAATGATGACCAAGTTGGCCGCCTAGAAAATTCTAATATTTGACGTCAAATTTTGTTCTAGCACATTTGAATGGATCTCTCAATTCTAGATATTTGTGAAGTGTGTAGGATTATTTCAAGATAAATAATGACTCAGTAAATGTGTTTGATATCTGCCGTATTTGGCAATGTCTATTCATCGCTCATACACTTGACCTTTACCTATATCCTGCAGATATCACTTCTGTCACATTGAATACTTGTGTCTTTGTTGTTATATATAAATCCTGTATTGCTTGGAACAGATCATATGTGAAGAAGGAAGACCAATGTTTGTCGAAACATGTGTGTTCCACCATCAATAAAAAAATTTTCTTATGCTTATAAGTCGTTGTTTGCCAACCTATTATTAATATATATATAGATAGATAGTGAGCAATGATGTTGAAGTGTGGCACAACATTGAGTGTTCCATATATAATGATCAATGGAGCTCTCACATGCCCGAATAAACCAGGCCATGATGCTCCAAATGGCAGCCTGATCAGTGGACCTGATGCAGCTGGGGTCTAGTGTTTCATGGGTTCTCCTCCATCGCTGCTAAACAGCATGAAATGTGATTAGTTGAACCAGATCATACGTTTCCAGTGTTCAACGGTCTGATCATGGCACCACTGTAGGTGGACTTTGTGGATTTTCTCTGACATAAGTGGTTTTCATATTGCCACAGTATTTAAAATGTCCGTTTCGTGCAGTTCCAAGTGTTGAGGTTTGTGGCGATATTTTCCAGGTTTGACTAGCTTTCTATTTGTTTTCACACGACATGACATCAGTCATTTCTCATTTTGAGGCAATAGCATGTTGCAGTTTGAAAGCTTCCTGTTGGTGATTTTTTTTTATTTTTGTATCCGCCAACCACTGCCCATAAATCCTTGACACGTGCACCAAAAACATACCTTATTTCCTATAACAGTTTACTGAAGAAAAGACCTGGTCTGCTACTACGTTTATAGTCCTCAGGAATCAAGGTTCATACTATTGTGCTAGGCCATATCCACCAAAGTGGACAGGGTGAATCACTCCTATGGAACATACCATTTTTTATTATTTAGGTAGGGCAGCGTTTATTTACTGGGTAGTTACAGACGCATTAACTGGTTATATACAGAAAGTATCCACTGATTGCAGAAAGATACTCATCACGAATATTTATTTGTTTGTGTTTCACGCAAAGCTACTTGCGGGCTATGTGATCTAACTGCCCCTAATTTTGAAGCGATAAACTAAAGAGAAGGAAGCTAGCAAAAATACTCACAACCAACTCTTGGGATACTCTAAACAAGTGATTTTCAACCTTTAATTCGAGTAAAAAGAAAACAAAATCCACTTCTTGAAGATGGAGGGCAGTCTCTGTGAATTACCAGTCGGCACTTCACGTTCAAGTGCTGTCGATTCACACTTGAATTATTTCTTATTGACCTTTTTACTAAAAAGACACTCAAGTTTCTTTAAAAAAATTATATACGTCAAGATTACGCCGATGCCTCAAAGGTCTGATTAGGGAATCCGACATAAAAGGTTGGGAACCACTTCACTAAACGAATAATGGGATTTAACCATCACTTACACTCACGGCCACAATTTGTGTATCCCGATTTATGTTTTCGCCAACATGACGCGACCTCTAGACTACTCCCAGTTCCTATAAAATTCCCATGTGTACAAAACATTTCTTATATTTATTGTTGTTATTCAAGTTTCTATACTATAAACGTGTAACAACTATAAATACTATTCAATAAACTATTATCTGCAAATGTAAAATAAGCAAATAAAATAGTGCCTATTATTTAACGAGTTTTACTTGGATGACTTG